ATTACTTAAGTTTATGAAAAAAATTAATGTATTTCCATTGAAAAGAAGAAGAAGAAGAAAAAGATATGAAAGAAAACACAAAAACAAATTCTCTGTTTTATTTCTGTTTAGCAATTTTTTCTCCACTTTCTTTTATGTAATATTTTGTGTGTTGTTTTATATTTCTTTTAAATTTATTCTTTTGCTATATTTTCTTTATACATATATGTATGTATCTACACCACAACTAATTTTGTTTTAATTAATATTAATAAGTCTATTATTTTTGTCTTTTGTAATATTAAGTCGTTTATTATTTTTCTTTATTTTTGTGTGTAAAGTTTAATAATTATTATTTTTTCGTTTTAAGCCAACAACATCTCTTATTTAAGAAAACAACAAAATTAAATATTTTTTTTATTATTAGCTACTTTATTATTATTATGTGAAAAGAAACAAAAAAATGGAACAACAATCAACCAACCAACCAACAACACAAAAAAATGATGAAAACCAGAAAAACACAACAGAAAAATTGATTTTTAAAGAAATATATTGAAAGAGAAAATGAAAAACACTTTTGTGAAATTAAAACAAAAAAACTTAAAAAAAAACAAATGTGATTTTTTATTTAAAAGAGGAGAAGGAGGGGAATTAAAACGCTTTGCAACCATACCAATATTACCTTCATCTATAAATGACGAGCTTATGAACAAAGCAATTTCGGAACTTCAAGGGTCTATATTTTTCGGGATGTTTGGCTTCTCCCATATCATAACTTTTCGTGATCAGGTAGGCGAGACCTACGTGTGGTAAAAATGTCATCCGAGATGAGCCTCTTAGCTCATAGAATTACTTTTTGAGTCGATTTATGTACTTTGCTCCGTTCATTTATTATTTTAAACATGTTACAGGTCACCTTTATGATCCGAATGGGATAAAATTTGGTACACTCCATTCGAAAGGGACCGAACTTTATTTTTTCACAAAGACGAGCCCAATTCATATTGGTCAAAATAGGTTCAGATTTATATATAGATCCCATATATTTTTCTTTGTTTATTTACACCTAATTTTGCATTACGCATTGAATAGATTCTAGAATGATGTATCCTGTTCTTGTCCGGTCTTGTTTTTTTTTTTTAATTTCTTAAAAAAAATTGTTCCAACACTTGAGTCGTCAACTAAAACAATGACGAAAAAATATTCGACATCATCGTCGTCACACTTTGTTACGGAATACCAAAAAAATGTTTCAATAGTTATCGATAAATGCCGACAACGACATAGGGAATACCAATTTACAAAAGACGACTCTCTACGTCGTCGTTTTATGTCGACGACTATATACGGAATAGGGGTAATTTTTTCAAAGGTCCGCAATTTTTTTAAAATTTTGAGCAAAGTCAATAATGCTAGTTCATACGAGAGCTAGACATGTACTCTTTCTAACACCGTTGAAATTTTCGGAACCATCCACCACCATCACCAACTCACTTCCGGGAGCGCAATCTAAAATTAACCACTGCAAAGTCTACTTTGTCACTTTTCACTTCCTGGACGCGATAAGTCAATCTAGAACTGGACATTTTCGTTGAAGGTAGGCGCATCCCCACCGTCCATATTTCGAAAATTCCTTGGGGTGGTCTTCGATAACCTCCTTCATTTCTCCTCGCATTCCAATTACATCAACCAGAAGGTGAAAGCTAGGAATAAAGTTCTGAAAGCTTTGGCTGGCACCTCCTGGGGCAGGGATATAGAAACGATGGTAACGTCTTATAAGGCTATAGGTCGTTCCATCCTGAATTATGCAGCCCCAGTCTGGACTTCTTTCCTCCTCCTTCATTTCTCCTCACATTCCAATTACATCAACCGGAAGGTGAATGCTAGGAATAAAGTTCTGAAAGCTTTGGCTAGCGCCTCTTGCACCTCGAGCATTATCACCTCCATGAGGAGACCAGAATGCTGTCAGTCAAGCAACATAATGTGTTGTTGAATAGACAGTTCCTGCTGGCATGCTATCTGCCGTGTCATCCTAACCATCACACAGTGATGGTAGATCCAACTACGCGACACATCCGCCAGGACTTCAGGGGCTATCGTGATGGCATCCAAGACACCATTCCATCGGACGTCAACATATTGTCGATAGCGAACGCGATGAAATCCTTGCATCAACTGGCGGTCTCCGAAGCCATAAATGGCAACAGTTGCAATTAAGTCCTACAACAACATCCTATTGCAATTTCGAAGAGTGAGAGTCTTCTTCCTAGGCAAACCCGTTCCATTCTGGCACAACTAAGGTCCGGTTACAGCAATGTACTCAACTCGTATCTAGAGCACATTGTCCCCGGAACCCTAAACAGGTGCCTTTCCTGCCAGTAAAGCCGTCACGACACACACTATCTATTCAATTGTCCGTCCGAGCCTACGAGTCTATGGCCTATAGAATTATGGTTAAAACCAAAAGAGGTGGCACACTTTCTCCGCTACCCTCTTCAAATCTGATTGCCTAATAATTAATTAACACATTTTCCTTCTTCCGCTTTTTTCTATTTCTACATTTTCTGGAAAGAACTTTCATCAACAGCCAACCTGTTACAACAACAAAACAATAACAAAAAATGTTGTAAATTAGTTTTCTTCCCTTGTTAATCTTCAAATATATATGTGCAAAGTTACAAACCTCGTTCATGTAGATTTTGGAACACATTTAATTTGTATTTAAAAATTTCAATTTATTTTTTATGCATGGGAACCTAGTCACAAGGCCAAAATCAGTTCCAGAAACTGGTATTTGTAAAATTTATAAATGGAAAGCTTTTAACACCAATGCCATATTTCGGATACCTCGCAACACTTCTATAATTTCCATATAACTACAACTACCGCTTCTATTGAAATTCATTTGAAGATTTTATATTCTGACAGCATCTATGGGTGTCGAATTATTTGATTCTTTCAGGAAATTTCAAGTCGTTAAGTCACAGCTGGGAAAAGAGACACCGCTGATATTTTATTAAACAATTGGCCGACCATCTTTGATAACCTAACACAGAAACAGCATATGGTCGAAGAAATTACGAAATTGAACATAGAACCCATATTTCGATGAGGCACATTTTCACCATATTAAGGTGTACATACCCTAATTACCCATAAGGCTGAAATTTATATTTGATGTACATTATGGTTTACATATTCGGTTTGTATAAATGTCGGTATAGATCCACTTTTTGGTATATTCCAAAGTTTGGCCCGCCGAACTTAACCCTTTTTTCATATGTTGATTTTTAGTTCCGAAAAAAACTAACTAAATGGCGGACCCATGAAATTCTTTTTATCGCCTCGCCAGCCTCATGAAAAAGAGTCTTATCTTCGAACTCGATTTAGAGTTGGTAAAAATACGACTATGTGTAAAGTTTGGGTCATATCGGTTATTCCATTTACTAAATATTGGATTTATAAATATTGTAAATGTTGACCATTCGTGGGGAGGAGAAATATTACGATGTGGAAGATTAGACGAAATCGTTTGTAATTCGACTCCAAATTGTCTGAAACGGATTTGGTCCACGAAGAAATGGAGTCTACAAACAATATTTCGATGAGTTCATATATGCAGTGTCAATAGGGGCCTTGAAAAATATTTTTTTTAATAAATCCACGCCTTATGGAGGTCTTGAAAACTTTTTTTAATAAATCCACGCCTTATGGAGGTCTTGAAAACTTTTTTTAATAATCCCCGCCTTATGGAGGTCTTGAAAACTTTTTTTAATAAATCCACGCCTTATGGAGGTCTTGAAAACTTTTTTTAATAAATCCACGCCTTATGGAGGCCTTGAAAACTTTTTTTAATAAATCCACGCCTTATGCAGGTCTTGAAAACTTTTTTTAATAAATCCACGCCTTATGGAGGCCTTGAAAACTTTTTTTAATAAATCCACGCCTTATGGAGGTCTTGAAAACTTTTTTTAATAAATCCACGCCTCGAAACATTTGTGCAGCATTTTCGAAAATCGATTAAGTAGTAGCTGAGTTATTTACATTTGAATTCAACCATGTTCTGCAATATACCTACTGTTCGGTGCTGGACACCTATTACCTGAAAATGAAAAAGTACACAAATAAATTTTTTAAAAACGGCAATTTTTCATTCGTTCATAATGGCTGCTGGTTTGTAGAGAATATTATAGCATACTTTTAGGTCAAACAAAGTCGGTACGTCGTCCGATTTTTAAATTGATAGTACGTACAAATTTAATTTAAAATAACTAGACAGTAGCTATTAGGAAGTACAAAATTTTATTTCAAACCCGATTTTTTGTGATTTTCTCTTTCAATGGGTTTATGAAAATCCCGATACATATAAAAACGGATAATTATGAAATTTCAAACAAATTTAAAATATCAACTATTTTTTTGTAGAATGACTTCAACTAGGACCATCTACCAACCCATCCTAGTTTTCCCAGTTAGTCTGGGTTTACACATGTAACTTTTTTAAGCAACTCTCCTGCTGTTCGCTTCATTTTTTTTTTAATTTCTTCCCCATTGTCACTTTTTATACCTCTCACTTCTATGAACTCAGCAGAGTTGCTTACAAAAGTTGCATTTATAAACCCAGACTTATGAAATAAAAACTTTTACTTTTTTTCATTATAAAAATTCATATATAAATATATTTATATTAAATTACATTTTCATTTCATTGGTAAATTTCCAATTATTTAAATAAATATAATATTGGGAATATTTTCATATATATAATATCATTTACAGAACTATAACAGTAAGATTTGTATAAAAGGTTTTCCTTGGTGGGGCATGAGATTTAAATTGATACAATTTGAAAAAAATATAAAAAAATAGATCTTTTATGAGTTACAAAATTTTGTGGAACTGCTGTTCATATTCCAAGTCCAATTTGGACTTGATGAAATTCATGAAATAAATAAGTATAACAAGTAATGTAACAAAAACTATAAAAAATGATATTTCGACATCTCAACGAGTAACTATTATTTCTTTTCTTGTTCATCCAAAAACTGCTGCAATAATTGTGCATCGATGGGTATGGTGAGTTGTTCAGAACCATCTACACTACGTTTGGACTTTACTAATTTGTGATCTAAAAATTCGGTTAGTTGGGCTCTCAATGCTAAATCGGAACTGACCAAGAAGGCTTCACGACAACTCCAATATAAATCCTTAAAGGGCATACCTAAAGAAATAACAAAGAAAACAATGATGTTGCTCGATGTGAAGAAGGAAGTAAATTGAAGTTACCTTGATAATTGGGGTTGCCTTTGTTTTTCAATTGATGTTTGACAATAATCATATAAATGCCACGACTGTTGGTGGTAAGTGATAGGAATACACTACGCATCGAGGACAAAGCCAATTCTCCAGAATTTTGTACCAACAAAGAGTTTTCAAAGGAGGTTTCATCTGTGTATGGCAACATTGTGGTACAATCCCACCAGGAAAAGTTGTAATTACTTAATTTCGTTTGATCCCATACTGGAAAGGAAACAAAGATTTAAAAATATATATGTAGAAAATTATGAAACTAATCCCACACTTACACAATGGTGTATTTATGTGATCAACTGAAGCCAACATGTGAATATTTGGCACCTTGGCCAACCTGGACAAAATCGCCTGGGATCTTGCATTCCTCAACATTGCTCCATCCAAATTATGTACAATTAAATATAGGTGAGTCTGAGGAATCAATGCAAATTCCTCTTCAATCATATCGGCAGCTTCATGAGGATTGGCAGGACTAATGCCAGCATCCAAAATATCATTAGTTATACTATCAAGTATATCTTTGAGGGTTAGACTGGGAAAGAAACCATTTATAACCAATACCGGTTGCGTTGATAAAACTTCTCGATGGAATGCCTGCAGCAATTGACGTTTAGAACCCAGACCATATAGCATCAAATTATAACCTTCATTTAGAATATATAACCATTTGGGAAAATACGATTTATATTCTTCCATTATGGCATTGATGGAAGCTTCATGTTCGGCGGAAACTTTCATTTCAGATAGCAAAGAAAATAAACGATCGGCCGGCAAACGTGGAGTTTTCAAACGATCTAAGGTGTGATCGGAGGTGAGAATTTTACCACTTGAATGGGATTGGAAATAGCCATCACTTTCGGGTACATAATCGGCAGATTTCTTTACACGTGCCGATTGCCTCAAACGGGCAGCGGATGGGGTTTTTGGTAAAATTGGTACGACAATGGAACGGCGACTTTTACAGGGAGTTTTGGGTTCATCATCAGCTTCATTGTCCGGCCCTGAAGATTCATTATCACTCGAAGAACTTTCACTACCCGAGGGATGGAAATCACTTTCATCGCCCGAAAAATCGGTACCCGAATCATCTTGTACCAATTTGGCAATCTCTGTAACAATTTGCAGAATTAATAGAAAATGAATTAATTTCCAATTATTTTTTTCTACTTACGATTTTTCACTTTACTCCTAACACGTGATGGTGTTTTAGGTTCCAGGGTAGATTTCCTCGACTTCTTGGCATCTGGTGTTTTACCCAATCTTCCTGGGGTTTTGGGGGTTTTAGGTGTCGCCAGGCCTTTGGGGGTGTTCATTGCCGCCAATGCCATGGCACCCTTCTTTTTGGGTGTATTAAAACCAAACATAGCCTTGCCCTCCACATCTCCCTCATCAAGCAACAACTGAATATCTGCCGATTTGGCCTTCGGCGCTTGATCATAAGGCACATTTTCAATTTCCTCTTGCTCAACGCCGCCATCCTCATCATCATCATCGGTAACTTCATCATTTTTGGTACGACGTTTACGTTCTGCTTCTTTATGCTTGCCACCACTGCCGGGTATTTGTTCCACCACAAAATCACCACTTAAAAATTTCTTCGTAGGACTTGGTACCCTTCCGGAGCGTCGCACATGTCTAACATCATGGACATTTTCTTCACTGGAATTTTCCACAAGCACATCAATAATACTTTCGCCACCCTCCGTACCCGACGATGATACCGTTTCATCCGTTGTGTGGTGCATTATATTTTCCACTGCTTTTAAACTTTTCGAAGTCGATGGAGTTGTCTTCGTCGATTTACCGGAACACGACTTCTGTGGAGTCCGATGATCATTTTCACTTTGAGCTATGGCTTTAGTTGGTGTGGACATATCAAATTGTTTTGTTTATCCAAAAATAACGGTAACGATTAAAACAATAATTAAATCCAAAACTTTTTTGCATAGAAATGCCGACCCAGCAGCCGATCGTGCATGCAGAACCAACAGAATCAGAGTTTGAGTTAAAGGGAAAAAGCGCGGTTTCTCAGGGTTGTTTGCCACCTATAAAAATTGAAAAACGTTCCACTTACTAACGAATGAGGGAGAAGTCCAACTGACCGATAAAGAAGAACTCAAAGAAGGTTTACAAAATATTTACGAATAAGGTGGGATGGAGACTGGATAAGTGTTGTGTCGAGTCAAGGTTGCTACGTTACGTGTCTATTGTTCACTGTACAAGGTGACACATCTATTGTATAAAACATAAACAGGGTGATAATAAAACAATTGCAATGGGGCTTTATGTGTTCCGTGTTTTATTAAATAAATCTATAATGGTATCTACGTCAGAACTTTTTACCGGATTAACCTTCTTTATGAGGATTTATTTGACATATATGCAAAGGAATTGACAATTGAAACCCATGGCGGCAATTTACGTTTGCAGCCCGCGCGTATTGCCCTAAGGCTACATGAACAAAATCTTTGGCGAAGTTGTACCTTTGGGCATGGTTGTATCTTGAACGAAGCGACTATATATCACCAGTCCTGAGATTTGACGATGTAGATGTCATTATTTCTAGTAGAGACGACTGAAACCGGAGTAACCCTCCTCGGGACTGTCTGGCTTTCTATACAGACGGATCCAATATGGAAGAAGGTACAGGGGCTGGCATCTACTGTGAAAGGCCTAGAGTTTACCTACAATCTGGGCAGCAACTGTAGTATTTTCCAAGCTGAAATTTTCGAGATTTGGAAGGCAGCGGAATTGATAAAAAGTCTGGATACAGAGATCGTTGAACCGGTGACTATCTTTGTGGATAGTCAAGCAGCTCTTAAAGCCATCAAATCTGAGGCTGTCCTCAAATGTAGAACAGTTTTGGAAGAACTTACTTACAGCTATCGGTTGTGTTGGGAACCAGGACACCGTGACTTCAAGGGTAATGAACGAGCAGACAAATTAGCTAGACTAGGATCTCGATCTACAGATCTAGCAATTAATGGCTCAATCAAACCACACATATGTCATCTTTATCGGAACTTGAAGGCGATCTTCGACGAAAGAGCCTATGAACTTTGGCATAATGAGCCTAGGTGCAATGTATCAAGATCTATTTAGCCGACTCTGTCTACCAAAAGGGACACACTCACTGTTGAACCTGAGCAAATCTGAAATAAGAGTATGATGACAGGAATCATTACTGGTCATTGAAATATCAGGGCCTTTACCAGTAAATGGGACCATGATGCTGCGGATTACTGTAGACCCTACGTTGACGAGGGCGAGACGGAGACAATTGAGCATCTCTTATGTCGCTGCCCAGTCCTGACCTACAGACGGCACAGACTAGTGGTTGTTCACTTTCCACCAAGTCTTTCTCAACAACGGAACCTGCTCTAATCCTCAGCATAATTAGAAACATAAAGTGGTTGGGTATGTGCAACCTTGACACCTAAAATATCTTCTGTCCGATCCCTACAGACATCGATACAATCTTACAAGGAAGTGTGAGAAGGTAAGTCTCACACTTACTTGTATCTCTCTCAATCCCCTCTTCTTTTCTCCCCATATCTTTTTCGTGGATGGTCACAATGTACCTGATGGCCTCAAAGTGCTGCAGCCACATAAGTGACGGCACACCCCCTAACCTAACCTATGTGTATAAGATTAGGCTAAGTTAGAATAGTTTATGTAGTTAAGTCAGAATATTTCATTAATAAGAATTGAAATTACAGCCAAACAAGAAGGTTGGGTTTCAATATCTCACTGTAACAAATAGATTTTAGGACATATTTTTCAAAACTTTGGCATAACAAACCACAATGTGTAAAATTGGCCTACCTTGAATAATTGTACCATGATTCCAACGTAATACTCCTGTCAATAGTTTCGTTCCAGAACCTGAAAGAATCTACTCATTTTATAAGTTTTGCAACTTTTTATTCGAAAACCGTTCCTGAACCCACAAAACTGGTAAAACATTGAACCCAATTTAAGAGAACACAAAACAAAATGCCGTTCTTTTTGAAAACTTTTTACTTAAAAAAAAACTTTTTAAAAATTACTAAACAGGAAAATTTATTAAATGTCTTCCCGTATTATATCTGCATGCGTATCTGCATGCTGGGAAAGTTTGACAATTTGAAAGAACTTATTATAAATTGGCCCCAAAACGTACGAGAAAAAAAGAGATTAATTTTAAATTTGTGCCATTTTACCGCGATAATACAATATGTTTATTTAGGGGATTTGTGCTTTTATATATTTTGCGAAAAAAAATTATGTGCCGAACAATTTATTTTCTCTAACAATATTATTTTTTTTTTGTAATATAATTCATGTATACACCTTGGCTGTTTATTATATATTTTAATATACCATGAGTCTAAATGCTAAATGCTTTGTTTTTAGATTTATTATGTCACCCTGTCATTACCGCCGAATATGCGAAAAATTGCAACAAAGGAACGCTTTTTATTTATGTGGTTTTCAGTAGATGACAACATAGTGAATGCAAGTCATTTCCATTCATTCACTATCAACAACTCAAAGCGGCCGGCCGGCTAATAAGAAAGTGCGCAAAAAACGGAAATAAAATTGTATTATTGGAATAACGTCATTCTTATTAGAATTCAAATCAAACCATCAACAATTAAGATGCCTATAACAGATGCTAACAAAGACGAAGCAGAGCGTTTCTTCGACATTGCTGTGGAAGCATACACGAACGGTGACTTGGAAAAGGCCGAAAAATACTTCTTGAAAGCAGATGAACTATTGCCCACTGAATACGTCAAAGGTATGTAAAAAAAAATGAATAATCAATAATTGGTGACATTAAACGGGCGTCAATAGAATGGGTGCAGTAATTAAATTTAAGAGGAAATGATTACAAAAATGTAGTGAAATCCATAATTGGTTGGGAAGAAGTGTCTTGTGGCACCACAGACGGAGCAGAAAACAATTATTGAAAAAGTGTTGTGAAATTCAAAACTGTTTTTTGACACCAAATGTCCAGCTCCTCCCAGTTATTTTCGAAGACAATGTTTCGCGCCAAATAATTTCTAATGTACTGGGTGGCAACAATGTTGATAGACATATAGCAACATTATCTGTGCATTGTTTAGTTGATTCTGAATCAACAAGTGGTGAGTCAAGAAGCCTAACACAACTTGGAATGCGCTTGTTTATTAGGTGTAGCCCTAATAAATACTTTAGTACATTTGTACTGCCAACAGCATTATTGCGTATTGGTTATATTTCTATGGTTGGCAACAATGTTGTAAGACATGTAGCAACGTACTTGTATGAATAAATAACGATGTGGTGTAGATTGAAATTGCAATTTTCGAATTTCGAAATAATGAGTGTTGTGCTGAATTGTGCTAGGTTTGCGCCGTAATTTTTTTTCGAAATTCGGAAAACTAAGGAAAGTACTTGAAGAAACTTTTTAAAAAAAAAATCACAGAATTCCAATTTTCGAATTTCGAAAAAATGAAAGTTGTGTTGAATTAGGATCGTACCTAAATTCATGCGTATACGTACGATTTTATTCACCTCAAAAGTTAAATACATGACAGCCTTACCTAAAATTCAACTAGCTCGTTCGACGTTTTTCACCACAAAAGTAGAACACATGTATTTATATGAATGTTACCGAAATACATCGAACGTACAAAATTTCAAGTTGAAAAATTTCAACTTTGACAGAACGTATTTTTCATTTTTTTCTTTTGTTGAAAATAAAAACAAAACATTCAGTAAATTTTAAATTTCGAATGGAAACTAAAAATATGTGGATTAATTTAATAAATTTTCAATTTTGTTTTGCAGTTTGTATCATTTGCTTGAAGATATGAATTCGACGTATTTGGGTAATACGGCCGTACACAACATTTTGCCATAGTGGGGAAGTTGAATATTTTTGTACGCCCCGTCGGATTTTAGGTATCGTTGTGAATTTAAATGAATGTTACCCAAATACGCATTGTGTATAAAAATATAAATTTGAAAATTTTCAACATTGACAATGCGTATTTTTGATTTTTTGTTTTTTTGAAAATAGAATTCCAGTCATTGAAAAATTTGTTTTTCTATAACTTTAAACATTTTTCGGTTAATTAAGAAAATGTTTTCAACAATTTTCGCCGTTTTCAATCGACACATAAGTAAATAAGGCCCTTGCGTATTTGGGTACTACGGACGTTCAACAAACCCTATAAAGGTGAGAAGGTGGGTATTTCAGTGCGCAACGCAATGAATTTAGGTACGACCTTTAAGGTTAATTTGTGCTCAATTATGCCGTCAACCTTTTTTCGATATCATGTACCGTTTTCGAAATAATCGATATTTTAGAACGTATGGTAGAATTGCAATTTTCGAAAAAAATAAAAGTTGTGCTGAATTGTGCTAGCAGAGCACACAAAGTGCCATTTAAAATTTTTCGAAAAAAAATACAATTTTCAAGCATATGTCAGAATTGCAATTTTCGAAATTCGAAAAAAATATTTCTAAACAAGATATTGAAAAACTGAAATTGTTCTAATTTGTACTAGCCTATCACAACTTTTCGTCCATACATCGCGAAATTGTATTTCCACTCATTACTCGTTAAAATCGATCAAATTTATTTGGGGATAAAAATCGTTCTTATTTTGTTAATATTGAAATTCCGTAAAAATTAGAAGTTTTGAAATCTGAAAATTGTCGTAGTGGTAAGAGATATTGAAAAAATGTAAACGGCACAATTGTGTGCTCTGCTAGCACACTTCAGCACAACCAAGGTGTATTTAATAAGGTGTATGCATCAGATACAACAACAAATATTTTACAAAAACAACATTGTTGTTATAGAAATTAAATTGTCATGCTGACAATAAGTTTTTAAAAAATAAACAAAAACAATTATTAATTTATTTTTGTCAAGAACTATTCTTTGAGGAATAAATTATGAATTTGTGTATTTTTGGGGTATTAGCGGTTTTAGGTCAGTGAAAAATAAAGTTTAAGACCTGGTTGCGATAAATTTTAAGTTTCCCACCTGCAGCCCATGGCTCCTTGTGATGTTGTTTGTATTGTGAATTACAATCTATTTTTTCTATGGAGTGGCTTCAAATTTTGCCTTCTTAAAGAAAATTGAAGGGACATAAATCCCCCGGCCAAAGACTAAATCATGGAAATTGTGTTGACCGTTTAAAATCTTTCCATAGGCGTATTTAACCTCCGCCGAGGATTGTGACAAGCACCAAGGGGCCGATTCCAATATAAGCTAACACAATCTCCTCGATTTTATGAGTAGCTGGGATTTATGGACAAATTTCCTCACATAACATAAAATATGTGGACCAATCGACGAACGTGGTTATAACGGATTTAATCTTAGGTTTCCTTTCCGTCCGCCTCTATGAATGAAGTTTTCTTGAATTTTTATTATAAAAAAGCCTAAATTTAAAGACCATTTTTGAAATCGAAATGTTATTGAAAATGTTTTTGACAATTTACTTTACAAACAAAAAAGAAAAAAGTTTGAAACCATATGATTGTCACTTACACCTTATTAAATACACCTTGAGCACAACTTTATTTTTTTCGAAATTCAAAAATTGAAATTCTGTGAAATGTTTTTGAAAAAAAAATGTTTTTCGAAAAAAATGTTTTATATTGGACATGCTTTTAAATACTTCTTATACCATTTAATAGTTTTGGCTATGCCTAGACAGAAGTGAAAGTCTATCTAATTGGAATATTATAATCCTTAATCTGCCTTTTGTTAGTAGTCCGATTCCAAAAATATTATTCTTTATTTCTCGTTTTCAGATATAATTTCAAAAATACGTGAACGTAAAAATGGCAATACTGATCCCGATAATACTGCCGAACAGACCGAAGCCGATTACACCACCGAACAGATGGAAGCTGTTCGTAAAGTAAAAAATTGCAAAGATTTTTATGAAATTTTAGGCGTCAACAAAACAGCTACGGACTCAGAAATTAAGAAAGCCTATAAGAAATTAGCCTTACAATTGCATCCGGACAAAAATCGTGCCCCAGGTGCTCTGGAAGCTTTTAAGGCAGTGGCCAATGCAGCTGCTATTCTAGCCGATCCGGTAAAACGTCAACAATACGATGCACATGGATTCCAACCAGAGGTTAGTTTGATTTTCACAACAATTATGACATCCACTTATTAATAATGTCTTATTTTCAGAATCAGGATCTGTTTGTAGCATCGGATTCATTTATTTCACTATCCTTGGTGTTGCTTGGCGGAGCAATAGCTGGCTTATCAATTGGCTATCTTTTGAATCGCTTATTCTCATCGAAACCAACCGAAGGAAATCGTTGTGATCAAGCTGAAGCTGGAGGGAGCGTGGGAAAAGACACTCCCCTACGTAATGGAACAAAAAAATAAATTAATGAATATCCGGAATAAGGCTGTATCTCTCTCTTTCGCATTCTTTTACTGGACTTTTGAGTAAAATTTAAAAATGAATACAGCTGATAATATTTGATATAACAGCTGTCTGTCAACAGTATATAACTTTTATACTAGAGTAAACAGCTCGTATCAGTGCCAAAAATTACTAAATAATTTATATTTATAAATATGTTAAAGTTCCCTGCTTCTAAAAATTATAGATATAAGATATAACAACCATGGTTAAATCTTGGGAGCAATGTTCAGCTTAAGAAAATATATTTTGTTTAATTTATTGAAATTTTATGGAATTTATTTTCAATATTATTTAAAATTGATAGACGAGTTCCAAATTCCATAATCAAATTGTCAAATCAGACTACCTTCTGTAATTATGCCATGGCATAGCCTAAAAGCGCATTGACTTCCCGAAGCAGTATGTCTCGGCAGTCCTATGCCAAAGAGTTCGGATTTATTGCCGTATCAGGCAAAAATCTGCACACGTTCTCTCTCGCAAGAGTAAATATAATCATACTCTCGCACGCATTTAATTTAGGGATAAGTAAATGGACTTTCGACTAAACGATTTTTTGTACAGCTTTGTACCATGTTCATGTACGTAATTCTGAGAGCGAACTACGTTGTTCGAATGCCCGTCAGAACATGGCATAAGTCGGTGAAGGCTGAAAATCAATTTTGATCAGGTTTTGCAAAATCGAAAGATGGAAAAGTCGACTTTTTATTCAAAGGCAAAAATCGAAAAGTCTAAAAATCTACTTTTTTGTCTGTGTGCAAAAATCAAAAAGTCTTAAAATCGACTTTTGCGCTTGACTACAGTGAGCAACAAAAGTCATGGTACCCAATACAAATCAAAAAATATTCAGTAATTCCTCAAAAAAGTAATTCACAAAATTTCAAATATTAATTTTTATTTCATGTATTCAATCCTATACTAGAACAAATTAAAGTAATATTTCATTTTTTTATTAAAACAAAATATAAAACAAAATCGACAAGTCCATATTTTTGCACAGCGTAGGTCTTGATACCCATAGAGAAAAATAATGAATTATTTAATATTAAATAATTTTTACAAATAAATTGACTTACCTAATATTTGGTAGGATATCCCTTGAGTTTTAAAACTTCATTCAATCGTTCGGGCATTGAGTATACAAGTTTTTTAGTGTAGTCCGATCCGATCAGAAGTATTTCTTTGAGTTGGGCCATACTGGAAATTGTATGATTTCGGATTCGTTTATCTAGATGATCCCATAGGTGCTCAATATATATATATATATATAGGTGTTATCAGCATGTGTGGTTTATTGTATACGATCCAATTCTTAACGTCAATAGCAGTGTGTTTCGGATCATTGTCCTGTTGAAAGTAATAATTATCACGAATGTTGAGTTTTTCATCACTTTGATTCAAATTTTGTTTCAAAATATTCATGTAAACAGTTTTATTCATTATTTCCTCAATGAATACCAAATTGTCAACACCAGTTTGCTGACATGCATCCCCATACGATTACAAAGCCATAGAAAACGTAGACTCGACAAAATGCATTTTGACAAAGTAGTTTATGAAAAAATATCCAGGGGGTATCAGGTATAACAGAGTCATGTTAAGAATAAAAACTCTAATAAGCGAATGTGTGTGTATAAAATGTAAATAAAATCAGAGAGTCCGCACATATATATATTTTTATCTTATAAGCTTGTGATATATTTAAAACGTTTAATATTGTTTGCCTAGTTAGTGTTGTCTGCCAACGTTATTGAAATTGGGGAAAGTTCAGATTTAGATATAGCTCCCATATATATATTTAACTGATTTAATGTAAACGGTCCCTATATATCTTTCGATTTGCACAAAAGTTGGTACAGCCTAATCATTTAGGTCTAGAATGATGTCTGCCAAGTTTCGTGAAAATCGGTCCAAATTTAGATATAGCTCCCATATATAGTTTCGTCCGATTTCATGTAAATGGTGCCCCACAGTCCCGATATATCTTTCGATTGCACGAAACTTGGCATAGCGTACTGAATTGAGACTTGAGTGATCTGTCAAGTTTCGTGAAAATCTGTCCAGATTTAGATATAGCTCCCATATATAGTTTCGTCCGATTTTAGGTAAATGGTGTATCAAAGTCCCTATATATCTTTCGATTTGCACAAAATTTGGCATAACGTACTGAATTGAGACTTGAGTGATGTCTGTCAAGTTTCGTGAAAATCGGTCCAGATTTAGATATAGCTCCCATATATTGTTTCGTCCGATTTCATGTAAATGGTGCCCCAAAGTCCCTATATATCTTTCGATTGCACGAAATTTGGCATAGCGTACTGAATTGAGCCTAGAGTGATGTCTGTGATGTAATTGACGCACCAAGGAACCAATAGGCTGATAGGAACAACACGTTCTGAAATTAGTATAACCTAACCTGTGACAAGTTTGTTTGAAATCGCTTAATATTTGGATAGAGCTTCCATATATATTTTCGCCCGATTTTAAGTAAATTGGGCATCAAACTCCTCATGTTAGTCAGATTGACATCAAATTTTGTACAACTTACAAAAATGAGCATAGAATTACGTAGTTGCGTTTTGTATAAGTACAGACATAGCCCAACGGATGACCTATTTATATTTGTTTGAAGTCGATTTACATGCTTTATGGATAGATCTAGGTAGATTCACATTTAGATAAATATCACATATTTTATTTCTTCCAATTTCATGTTAATAGTCCTGTTTAATATAGCCATAGTGGTGAAGGGTATCATATAGTCGGCCCCGTACGACTTTACTACTTTCCTTACTGGTTTTTTTTGATAAAATAAAATTTATTGTTTATTTATGAAAAACAAAATTAATTACCATTTCTTTAATTTCAAAATACCTTGTTTCTTCATAAATTAAAGGCATTACATTAAGATTTATTATTTATATGTTAATAAAAACGAAAAGTGTTGTATTTTGAAAATATTGTGTTAAATGACATTTATTACCGATATGACGTCGGTAAAAAAAATAGCAGTTCTAACGAAAACATAACATAAATTCATTTATTGTTCTTATATTAATAGTTAACCTTAAAATTAATGTAAAGAGCATTATTTCCTACAAATTAATACTATCATGCAAAGCCTTTTTTGCGTATCACATCTTCACAGCGACGTTTCATTGAATTGACTAAATTTTTGCATCTTTCGCAAGGAATTTTTGGCCAGGCTCCTTGAAATACACTCCATTGGTCTGTTCCCGTACTGCAAGAATCTACTCGATTTTACTATTTTTTTTTCTTGGGTTTAGCTATGGCCACCTCCTTCTTGATATTGCACCACAAATTTTCAATTGGATCTATAAGATCTATATTGTTGTCCTGAAACCACCGTTTTGCTAGTCGGTTGGTATGCTTCAGATCATTGTCCTGTTGAAATGTCCATTTTAAAGGCATTTTATATTCCGCATATGGAAGCATAATATTTTGCAGTATTTCAATATACATATTGAGTGGCATCCAGAGTATTTTTAATCCAATATATTGGCCCTACTCCGTAGTACAAGAAACATGCCCAAACCATCACATTTGATCCACCATGTTTAACCGTTTTATTTGTATATTGGGGATCATATTCTTTATTTAGTGGGCGCCTTACAGACCATAGTATGTTTTTCCATTTTTCAAGTGGCCAAAAATGCCAAACGCAATCGCCATGTGACGTGTGTTTTTTTTTTCAAAAGTGGCACCTTTCTCGGACTCCATGCATACAGGCTGCTTTCACGTAATACTCTGCGAACAGTTTCTACACTTACAGATGGACAAATACTGTCTCTTATTTCTGTGGCAGACACTGACGGGTTTTTGGTACTAGCGTTTTTTTTTATCATCCGTCTGGTTTTTCCTGACACTACAGACATTCTATCCCATAGTTTCGATTTTATCTTTATATATTAATGCGTTCTGATCATTTTGGCAGAACAATTCAACAAATTCTGTACTTTTTTGTACGTTTTTCCTTCCGATATTATTTTTTTTATTAGACGCCGGGTATCTTCACCACAATGTTTTCCTCGGCCCACTTTCCAAGAAAAAGAAATAGTTTTATTTAAAAAAACACAACAAATTGCAAATTTTCTTAATTTTTAATTCGATTGATTAGGAAAATCTGGAGATTTTAATTATTTTTTCAGATTTTTATGACTTGCTGCTATTTTTTTGACTGCACCAATATGTGGACTGTTTGAAAAATATTGAATAATACAAAAACACGTTACTGATTTTATTTTGCACTCACATTTTATAACGGTTAATACCGTAATGGATTTATTAATAAGTCCACATTAGAGTCTAAACGCAACCTTAGAGTCTAGAGTCAGCGACAGTCGTTTGCCGTGGCAACGGGAAATCGCGACGGCTGACGTTCGCGTCTAGCGGCATGACGCTAGAATAGATTTTATTCATTTTTGCTCAGCGTCATACTCAAAATTTCTCTCTTGCTCTCAATTGAGTTGCCATATTTTAGGTAAAAATCAACAGTGCTACCAAATTTCAATGAGAATTTATATCAAAACATATGGCAGTGCTGTTAAAAAAACAAATATTTTCAAAGATTGTGGATGTTTCTTAACGAATTATTAATAAAATGGAAGAAAAATAATTTTTTCAATAATTTTATCCAAGTTCCTTGACATTATTGTTTATTAAATAATAAATTGATTTTGGTTTGCACAACGTAAAATTTTCTGTCAGAAAATGAAAACAAATAATTGACATTTTGTGCCGCTAACGCTAACTCTTTCAATTTTCACGCCGGCGAAAAAGTATCTTTATACTCTCTGGTTGCGTTGTCTTTGAATCATTGAAGATAGGGTGCTCTGCTATTATTATTGTATATTTTGAGTACAGATCTCTGAATTTATTTACATTTAATATTAACATTTTCATGTATTGGCTGGTTTATTCCTAACATGCCTCTGTTATA